CTGCTCATGTCCTGAGTTCAATTTCAATTGGTTGAGGTAGCCAGCTCAACGGTGATTCAGGGTTCCGTCTTTCCAAGGTCAGTAGAATGAGTACCCAGCTGTGCAGGGTGGGTGGGTAATGTTTAGCTTGCATAATTGATTTGTAAACCACCCAGAGAGTGCTTGAAGCACTATGGGGCGGTATATAAGCAGCAAACTTTGCTTTTTTAAACTAGCCTTGCTTTGCAAATGCTACAGGCAGACCTTGGAAATCATGCAGGGCCAGAGCTCAACAATATATTGGGCTGGTTGATGGGGATGGAGCTGAGAAAAAGGTGGAGCTGGGAAAGGACATAATTAAGTTTTACTTGTATTCTGGTGTTTCTCTATTCCAGTTGCCACAAGAACAGATCATGCTCTTGCAGCAGCAGGTCAAAAATCCACTGCTTGAATATATTTTAATACAATTTCCCTGACCAATTTCCATTTCCCTGATTTTCCAGGAAATGGCAACCCTGTATATACACACAGTAATTTAGCCTATGTTGTTTTAGGGTACTCTTATATACATAAACATTCCTCCAGGAGACAGAAAACAGACACCAGGCCTGAGCAAAGATGAGAGGGGGAGAAAAGAGAGAGGTGGGTTGGGTTTGGAAGACTGGGGATTCAATTACAATTTAAGAAGAGTGGGGGAAGGATACATAAGTAAATATAAAAGTGAAAGAAGATCACAGAGGAATCCCACACTAATGTAGGGAATACAGTAGTGAGTTTCTACCTTTTAGCCTTATATTGAGAGATGGGCTTTGTAGTTGTGAACAAAATAACAGAGGCAGTGGATAAACAGCAGAAGTATGACATTTGGTAACAGTTTAAGAAATCTAGGTTTATATTCAATCCATTTCTGTGGGTGTCTATCATGCCTATTTATTTTGTTTCTTTGGATTTCGCCTGATACAGATTATTTTAAATCAGGAACAAAAATGATTTATTGTTTAATCGTCCTTCCTCCCTCCCGGGGGTCGCAGTTGGGCGTTATTGTTCCCCTCCTCCTGAGAAGATATGCGATGGCAGCAGAGAAAGAAGACACAGAGAAAGAAGAACACGGAAGACTTTCAGCGCGACCACTTCCGGAACCCGAGCTTTCCCTTAGAAAAACCATTGAGTTCCCTTCCGGCTTCTTCCCAGAAGGCCTCACAGCCATTTCCGGTAAGGCTTCCGGAACCCGAGCTTTCCCTTAGAAAAACCATTGAGTTCCCTTCCGGCTTCTTCCCAGAAGGCCTCACGGCCATTTCCGGTAAGGCGGGCAGCGCCTCACTTCCGCCCTCGTGGGGCTGGCCGTTGGTGGTCCGGCTGCGCCGCGTGTCTTGGTCTTCTGGTAGCGGGCTGGCGGCGGCGGCAGCGGCGGCAGCTCCGGCCTGATTTCACCCCCCTCCCCCTCCGTCGCGATGCTCGTTTTATTCGAGACCGCAGCCGGCTACGCCATTTTCAAGGTGAGAGCCACGCGTGGGGAGCGGACTTCACTCCACCGGACGGATTGGGGCCTGCGAGGAGGGCATGGGGGGGTTAACCCAGAGGGTTGGGCAGCCCTGGCCCTCCAGGGGGTTCTTGGGCTGTAATCCCTCAGGTTCTGCAGCCTGGGGCTGAGGGTCGGTCCAGTCAGACACTCTCCGAGGGGGCCACAAGGTCCCGCTCCTGCCTGGAAGCCGAACCATCAGTGGCACAAGGGGTCCTGGATGGCCCCGCTTTGAAAGGGGTGCGTGTAGTTTTCAATTAAGAGAATGGACGAAGGGTTAACTCATCTGATCCCATTACCTCTTGGATGCCTCTTAACCACATTTCAAAATATTGCAGCCTCTCTAAGTGGTGAAACGAATGGATATGATGTCAAAATGATTAAAAGGTGCCTCATTGTGTAGTTGCTGTTCAACGGAGTATTCTTTTTCACAAAATGGAAGCGAAGGATGAAAGGGGCTAACTTGCCTCATATTATCTAATGAGTTTGGGGCAGAGATAAAAATTGAACCAGGAGGTTTCTGAACCTCAGCCCCTATCTACGTGGGGCTGCCTTTGAGGCTGACACAGAAACTTCAGGTGGTGCAGAATGCGGCGGCCAGGCTCCTTACAGGAGTGAGAAAATATCAACACATCTCTCCAACGCTGGCCGCATTGCATTGGCTGCCCATCTGTTTCCCTGTCAACTTCAAAGTTTTAATGCTTACTTATAAGGCCCTAAACGGTTTAGGGCCTCGATATTTGGCGGAACACCTCCTCCCACCAACGTCTACCCAGATCACCCGCGCGAGTCAGGAGGTGAGGCTGAGGAGCCTGACGCCGAGAGAGGCCCGGAAGGAGAAGACACGAAACCGGGCCTTCTCGGCGGTGGCTCCTCGCCTCTGGAACAATCTCCCTCCGGCGATTCGCGCGGCCCCCACGCTGGGCAAATTTAAAACCCAATTATAAACATAGCTGTTTATTCAGGCCTTCCCTCCAGCCAACTCTTGATTTTTTCTTACTTTTCCTTTTTATTTTTACTGCAATAAATAAATAAATAAATAAATAAATAAATAAATAAATATCACACCGCCTGCATCACATCTAGTTATACCTAGTTAAAATGCTGTTTTACCTGCTCTGTCTCTTTGTTGCTGCTTTGTTAAAAGAACGGTGTGATTTTACATCTTAGAATCGTTTGGATTTTGTTGAGTTCTATTATGATAATAGAATTTTGTTTGGGTTCTATTTTGGCAGGTTAGTTTGCTCACAGAAATTGTTTGCTTTGCAGCAAGCCACTGGAAAGGGAAAAGGAGAGAGTTCTGGGGTCTTCATCATGTAGATGTTTACTTAATGACATACCATGTTCAAGGCTTTGTTTGTGAATAAAGATGTATAAAGGAAGGGCTGCTTGACAGACCATAATTAATTTCAGACCTGATAGTTGTTCCGAGGTAATATTGCTAGATTTCCTAAATTTGCTAATTGTAACAGATCCAGCACAAGCTAGTGGTGAATATATTAAAAGGGTAGCTTTTCTGCTACTTTCTTCTTCCTTCTGACCTTTCAGAAAAAAAATTGGGAAAGGAGGACCATGCTTTGAGGATCAGCTGCCTGGCTTTCAAGAGTTTAAAGAAATACAAACTTGTTTGGGTGTCCAAAAGTTGGATCAGAATGTGCTACATTGTGAGTAATATGGCACTTCATATTTCCAACTGGACTTTGTTTTCTTCAACTCAAGAGTGGAGAGCTGTGGCCCTCAAAGCATTTTTGAAATGTAGCCCACATAATCCATCACCAGTAGCAGTCCTGGTGAGAATTAGCAGAAGCTGGAGGCTAAAAATGTATGGAAGACTGCAGTAGTCGATCCTGTTCTACATGAAGACTGATGAAAATGCCTCCAGATACAGAAATTTACAGATAATTGGAATGCTAGGTACTTTTTGGTGTGATGTCTTTTTCAATAACGTTTGAGCAACTTTTTAAGAAATGGGGCATAATTTTGATGTCTGCTTCCGTATTCACTTAATGAAACATGATCATAGGAATAATGCTGCTGAATTTTGCGTACATGTGTTTTACTTTTTCCTTGTCACAGGTTCTGGATGAGAAGAAGCTCCAGGAAATCGATAGTTTATGGAAAGAGTTTGAAACTCCTGAAAAAGCCAATAAAATGTAAGCCATGTTTAGGAAATAGTCATATTCTTGTAAGAAAGTGACACACTTGAAGAGGATTTGTGATCTAGAATTGATACAGTATGTAACAAGTAGAGTCATATGATCCCTGTATTGAAAGATATGCTGCATTGGTTGCCTATTTCTAACTGGACCCAGTTCAAAGTATTTAAAGCCCTAAAGGACATTGAGCTGTCTAAGGGACAGCCTGTGTTGTAATGAGTCTTTATGAATGTTGTGATTTTCAGGAGGGGCACTCTTAATACCAACAGTTTCAGAAACCTGTCTAACAGACACAGAGAACAGGGCTTCTCTGGCGTGGTTCCTAGACTCTGAAGTGCACTGTCTTCAGATTTGTGATCAGTTTCCACTCTGGCTGCCTGTAAGAAGAGTTTTAAAATGTATTTCTTTAAACTGACATATGATGTTTAACCTACCTGGATGGATGGAGGGACAGACAGGCTTAGATTTCTTTCATAGAAATGTATATTAAATCACTTTCCCATTAGCACAACAGTTTGCTGTTATGGATCGTGCAGAGTGAGCATGGCTGTTGGAATATAGGAGGGCATGAGAGGCATGTTGAAGGGAAATAGTTATAAAAGATTTACATGACACCTAGAAGAGGTTATCTGTGAAACCAGAAATTGACATGCAAAAAGAGGGCTCCTTTCTTTATCGTGTTATAAGTTGTTGTGTGAATATGAATAGATGGCATAAGGAATCTTAAGTAGTAAATTTCAACTTGTTTTAGTAGGAAATGGCTAAATAAAATTATACCTAGTTGTGTATAACGTACGGCACAATTGCCTAGTTTTATAGTGGTGTCTCAACTTACGACCATAATCCGTTCCAGAACATGGATGTAACTTGAAATGGTCGTAAATCAAAGCACCATTTCTCAGAGGAATGCATTGAAATGCAATTAATCCGTTCTGGCCGAAGAAAAAATTCACCAAAAAAAAATCACCACAAGACTCATTGGAAACACAATTAATCCCTTCCGAAGGGGGAGGGAGAGCAATCAAGCGTGCAAGACCCATTGGAAATGCACAGAAAACAAACAGAGCAGATGGAAATGCACAGAGAACAAAGGGGGCAGGTCAGAAAACAAAGGAAAAGGCAAGGGAAGCATGCAGGACCCATCAGAAATGGGGGGGAGACAAACAAACCCCCCAAGACCCATTGGAAATGGGGGTGAAGGACTAAAAAACAAACTCCCCAAGACCCATCACAGCACAGAAACATAATCCCCCAGCTCAAAACCATGCTGCAAAAACACCCAAAACAGTTTAAAAAGCAGAAAACAGCATCTTACCTTACAAGGCAGCCCGAAACCTCCCTACTCACTCTGAAGCAGAAGCGAGGCAGTCCCAAGCCTCCTCCGACCCACACTTTCTAACTGCTGGGGTGAAAGAGCTACAGAGAAGCAGCCTCATCGCCACCTACAGTTAGAAATTTGAATGTCCTGCCTCCCCCCCCCGCCTTTTTCTGTTCCGGTCGCAAGTAGAAGCAAAATTTTGCATCCGGAGCTGATCGTAACTCCAAATGGTCATAAGTAGGGACGTTTGTAAGTCGAGGCACCACTGTATAGTATATATTCTGTATTACTGATTGTATTTCATTATGTCACAGTGTTATACGCGGTCAGGTAAGACAGGCATGTTGTTGCTTCCATGTTACGCTTGGGAGGCTGCAGTATTTTTAACTAGTAGATTTAACTACTAGTATACTTAAGTAGCACACAAATTTGTTACATTTCACCTTTCCTTCACTGAGCTCAAGGTAGTGTACATAGTTTCCCTTTTTCCCATGATTCCTTCACTGAGCTCAAGGTAGTGTACAGTGGTGCCTCGCAGAACGGGCGTCTCGTAGAGCAATGAGTTCGCTCTACAAGGCTGTTTTTGCGATCACAAATGCAATCGCAAAACGGTGCGCTATGTTTGTCAGATAGGCTGATATCATGTGACTCAGAGGCACCCAGTGAGCCTTGGAGCTTAGTGGGGATTTGAATTTAGGTCTTCCAATCTGACCCAAAATCCTAAGCACTGTACCACCTATCTATGCTTTTGTAAGTGCTGAAATCTTCATGGTTTAGTCACAGAAGATGATTTGTTCTCCTGGCTTAATAGTTTTCAAGCAATTTTTTTCTTATTCTTATAGGGATTTCATAACTGGATTGCTTTTTTTAAAAATTTATTAAAGGCTGAGCAGTGCAAACATATGATCCCTGAACTGTACTTATGTTCTCTTTCACTCTGCAGTAGATGCTAAGTTCTTCATAACCCTCATAAAAACAGTTTGGTATCTTGTTTTTTTCCCCTTTAGTGTAAAACTAAAACACTTCGAGAAGTTTCAAGACACAACGGAAGCTCTTGCAGGTAATTTGAAGGTTAAAGGGTTCCCTACCTGCTATATATGAACGTCTCATTGAATTAATGCATTGCAAGTGCTTTAAATTGGGTACTGTGTTCTAGTAGCATTTCTGAGGCTCTTGGAAGTCTTCATCTCTGCAAATGAACCTCTGGAAACTACAGTACCACAAACACAGAGCTCATAGTGTAAGATAGTTGTGGCACCTTAACATCTTTTGTGCAGAAATCACATTTGATTTTGTTTACAAAAACGTTCTCACCTTCAGTCCCCCTCCCCTTCGCATCCTAGTCCCTCTCAGGTATTGCACTAGAATGTGCATCATCTGCAGGCAGCATAGCCAAAGGCTGTACTAGCTAAGTGTGATCAAAATGGAGGGGAGGCAGGCTGGTAGTTCTTCATATGACTCTTAGTAAACCTAAAGAGTTAATGTAACCAATATGATTATGTGTCTTATTCAGGCAGCGCAGAAACTAGCAATGCTACTTTATGTTCAAACTTGCAGGTATTTGTAGTCTTGTTGACAATGGTGAGATTTTTGTAGAGGATGGTGGACTTGGAATTATATAGAATACCAGTACGTTCCATCGTCAGTGATGTACAGTGGTGCCTCGCATAACGAGCGCACCGTTTAAAGATGAATCTGCATAGTGATCTATTTTTTGGGATCGCTAATGCAGTCGCATTGCGATGTTCTGAATGGTCAAACATCGCATTGCGATGATCAGTAAGCGTTTCGCTTACCAATCTTCGCATTGCGATGTTTTTAGAACAGCTGATCAGGGGTTCCAAAATGGCCACTGGGTGCCCAAAATGGCCGCCGGAAGCATTTTCGCGCACTGCCCTTGCTTACCGAGGCAGCGAAAATGGCAGCGCTATGGAGGGTCTTCGCTGAACGGTGAGTTTGGGCCCCATAGGAATGCATTAAACGAAGTTTAATGCATTCCTATGGAATTTTTAGTTCTGTTTAGCGACGATTCCAGATAGCGATGATTAATCCAGAATGGATTAACGTCGCTATGCGGGGCACCACTGTATTAGTGGAGCTGAATCTCTGTGATTGCACATAATGTTTTTGTCACTACCCCTGAGACGACAGACAAAAAGAAACAACGAGTGACCACCATTGGGTCTAGTTGTTGTTCTACATTAAACTTTTCTAGCAAGGGTTCTAGAAAATTGGTAGACCTTCTGCAATGTTCTGCTTTCTCTTCTCAGCATCCACTGCTCTAGTTGAAGGCAAGATTAGCAAGAATCTAAAGAAGATCTTAAAGAAGATAGTAGCAAAAGATGCCCACGAACAGTTGGCTGTAGCAGATGCTAAACTGGGAGGTGTAATAAAGGTAAATCCTGGTGTGTGTTAGATGTGTGGCATTTTGATCAGTGGCACAACTTTAATCTTCTTTATCGCATCACATAAATGAGTATACTGCAGACATACTGTTTTTCCACCAGATGTGACCTTTCTTTACCTCCGTAGAGGGAGCACGTTTAATGTCAGTTGTCAGTCAATGATGAATACAGTATATGGTCCTCCTTTGCTACAAATGATATGGTGGGAGCTTGCCACTTTATCTTTCATAGTTTTGTTATCATCTATAAATTGCCTGCATTTAAATAAGCCTGGAGCTTGCCACTTTATCTTTCATAGTTTTTGCCTGCATTTAAATAAGCCCTCTATAGGGATTAAAAGTTTCTGTCTGAAGACTTACAGAATAATAGATTCCTTACAAATGGAAAAGAGGATGGGTAAGAAAGAGGAAAATAAGTATCTACACAACATTCTCTGTAATCATCCGCTGGCTCTAAGTGGGTTGTTGGTGCCATATTTTAACAGGTGTTTTTGGCTGGATTTTGCCGTTTCTTGTGGCATTACCTTTTGCATAGTAACTGTATGTTATGTTAATATTTAATCAGCCTACTTTCTGGGTAGCTCAGTGAGTTAGGTATCTGGCTGTGGAGTTTGTGGTTGGGAGTTAGATTTCCTACTGTGCCTCCTGAGAGAAGAGCCAGCCTGTGTAGCCTTGGGCAAGATGCACAGTCCCAGGATGCCTCCAGAAGAAAGGAATAATAAACCATTTCTGAGTATTCTCTACCTAGAAAACTATGAAACAGGTCACCATAAGTTAGAACAGTGAAGTTTCCCCTACCAGCTTCTATGTGTTTTTGTTTTGTACGAAGACCTGAAGGAAAAATTTTGCTCTTAATATTGATAAGCATCTTATGGAAATCTTGGACTGTGGGTCTTTTGTACACATCTGAAAGGCTAAATTTGTATGGAATGGTCTAATGTGCTCTGCTTTAATATGGAGTTGCAGAGGGGATTGGAAAAGAGTCTCACATAGATAATTTTCTTGCAACATGAGCTTGCTAGTATGCCAGGCTTTTGCAGCCTTGTTTTCTTAATATGGAACTGTAAATATATTATTGCAATTCTGTTCTACACACTTTTTCCCCCTGAAACATGTATTATTTATTTTCCCTTCTGCAGGACAAGCTGAATTTAAGTTGTATCCACAGTCCAATGGTTACTGAACTGATGAGAGGCATTCGTTCACAAATGGAAGGACTTATCAGTGGCCTTCCAGCACGTGAAATGGCAGCTATGTGTTTAGGATTGGCACACAGGTAAATATTTCATTTTTCCAACTTGCTGTTTCTGCCTGTTTTGTTCTTTTCCAGCATTGTGCTTGCTGTGTTTGACTAGGAAAGGTGTGTGTGAAGAGAATTGAAGGGCAGGGTGTGGGGGAAGCATCAAATTTGGGAAGGCTGTGTAGTGTATCTTTATATGTGGGAGTGCTATTTTATATAACATAGAATGCAAGCTTATGCACAGACACCTGTTCAGAGCATGCTCATGCAATAACCTTATGCACGTCTCTGAGATCACTTGCCAAGTAAGAGTGCAGAGAAGAAATTTTTTTGTGAAGTAATATTAGTAAGAGTGAAAGTTTTTGTACCATAATTGGTACGTCTTTGTTATTGAAAAATATTAGTTGATGCCATTAATACACATCTCTGGCCTCTTTAAAGCTTTTAACCAGAGATCCAGGCTTGCGTTTGATCTGGAAATTATGGAGCATATTGGATGAGAGCCACTCTCATTCAGTTCACATAGATGATTAGGCTCAAATCCTTTTCTATCCTGTCCTATCAGCTTACCAGCTTTGGTTTTTCATTTGCGCCAGTGACAATAAATGTCTGTGTCAATCGGTAGTTTGTAAACCTTCCTGGTGCTACTGTATCTGAAACTGGGATTGAGAACATGTTCCACACCAGCAGTGGCTGAACTGTAGCTGTCATCAGCCCTAACTGGCTTAGCCAGAGATGAGGAATGGTTGGCATTCAGAAAATCCCAGGAACAATCAGAGGGTCACTCTAATCTCTAATCAAAAGCATGGTCCATAGTTAGCTCTCCCAGACTCAGTAATTTAGGCTAAAACAGGTAATATTGGTAATGTACTGAACAATTTCTTTGTTTCATATTAGAGAAAACAACATCAGTTAGTGTCTTGCACTAGTCCCCACTAGAGTAGACCCATTCACTCCATGGGTTTTATGGAAATGTTGACTTAATGATTCAGCAATTGACTCAGCGGAGCTCCTCTTAGTTTAGACTAGTCATATTATACTTCCAAATGCATACTTAAGCTGCCTTTGAGACAGATATATAGATTTTCCATTCACGTTTCCTATCCTTTGGTCCAGAATTTCTGTCCTAATGTTTCAGAATGAAACCTATACAAATGTCCAGCCTGGTTCAGCAGTGCAGGAAGGGCATAATTCTTGTGGCAGTGGAGGGCAGTGCTCTAATTGCTTGGAAGGGAAAGGAGTAGTACATGTGACTGGGGATTGTATATTGAATTGTTTACATGTATGTATATCTGTTTTTAGCCTTTCCCGATACAAGCTGAAGTTCAGCCCAGACAAAGTGGATACAATGATTGTCCAAGCAATCTGTAAGTACAGCCAGATTTTAAATATCCTTCATCTGCAATTGCTTTTAATGCCCTCATATGAGGGCCCACAAGCTTCTTTTTAAATGAGGAACTAACCAGCTTTGTTTAATGCAAAGTTTACCCTGGTGGGGATTTAAAATATAGTAAACTCTTTAATGCTCCTGGCTCATGTCTCAGTCGGGTTTAGTTGGGGGATTGATGAGTATCTCTTTTGATTTGCTGCTTTGGTTAGCCAGAATTAGTGGACTCCTATTTAATATCTTCTGCCAATCTGTCGTTACTGATTTAGTATGAGTGTGGTAGTTTGACAGATGTTTATCATTGAGGTAAAGCAATCACAATGCACAATCCAAAACGCAAGTATGGTACTTACATGGTATAGGACTACTTATATGGGACTATTAGGTATGTTGAGCGTGGAAGGTTGTCAATGATGGAAACATGTTGACCTGAAAATGATGATTTTAATTCAACATTTCGTCACTACCACTGAGACAACATAACAGGGCTTATGGCTCACAAGAGTGTGGAACTTTCTCTGTTTTAAGAAGTGCATAAACAACTTGGTAGCTAGGCAGTTATCAACATTTCGTCACTACCACTGAGACAACGTAACAGGGCTTATGGCTCATAAGAGTGTGGAACTTTCTCTGTTTTGAGAAGTGCATAAACAACTCGGTAGCTAGGCAGTTAAAAAATTTCTTTCTATAACAAATTATGGTGGCTGAAAATTGGACAAAAAAACAATGATTTTTTTAAAAAATCAAATTGATTTAAATCAAGTCCACCCTGGGTGCCTGCAACTTTAAAAAAATCAAATTGATTTAAATCAAGTCAACCCTGGGTGGCTGCAATAAGGATTTAGAAAAACTGATTTTATTCAATATTTTCTCACTAATTTTTTGAGTGGGGTTTTTCTTTTTGTTTCCTCATATTGTTTTGCCTTGCGTTTGAGTCATGTGATAATGAGGGCCAACTGACTGAAGCCATCTGCTAAACTGGCTGGGCAACGTGTAGCCCACCATGTGGTGGTCGTGAGTTGCAACTCTCATCATACATCACTGTGAGCTGTGCTGTCTGACTCTGATTAGACCTGCAGTCACAGTGGGTGGGAGACAAGCTGTCACTAATAGGCAAAGAAGCCTTTTGATTGTATGTTTCCCCAGTTTCATACTGTGTCCTGGAGTGGGCAAACTGAGCACGGCCAGGGAGCAGTTCTGCCATCCGCTACAGGCTGCCCCCACTTCTGTTTACTTCTTTTTAAAAAGTGGCCGAAATTGCATTTTTAAAATCTCTGAGGTCCCCCCTCGAGGGGTTTGAGGGCACAAATTTGGTCCCCAAACCCTGAGCTTGCCCAGTCTTTATTTAAAACAAACATTTGTTTGCTTTGGATCAAGTTTTCCCTAGCTCCACCAAAACTCGGCAGACTTTTGGGGCTGCTTTGGTGGGGATCCATGACCACCCCTACCCTCAAGTAGTGAGGCTCTAACTTGCTTTTAGCACTCTATTGGGGTTTTGAGTAACATTCAGAGCCTGTGCGTCACCTGGGATTTTATCCTGGATGGGATCAAGAATAAGCTAAAAGCAGTCAGTTTTGGTTGAAAGGTAACCAGTGAAAGAGGGAGAGCTGGAATCCTAAATGTGTTTTAATACTGTTTCACTTGCCTGGTGAAACAGGGGTGTGTGATCACATTTGAAGAAATTGCAAGACTGGCTGCTGCATGTTGGAGTTTGTAAGGGGTAGACAACTACAATAGTTTTTGTTTTGTTTTGTTTTTAGAGAGCGGACAAATGGGTATTTGCTAGCAGTGGTTTTGAGTTCAGTGGTTAAAGGACATACCGATGGCAACTCTTTCCATTTTCTACTCAAGCTGATATTCTGGGGCAACTAGTACAATAGGCTGCTATTTTTGTATTTACTGGATGCAGCTAAACAAAAGGGTTGTAATATTTTAACTTTTTGTTTCTCTGAAAACTTTTGATAATTTTTATTGCCTTGTCTAAAAGCAGAGTTTCAAGTTGACAACCATTGTCGAAACTGTTTCAAAATGTTGCTTTCTGATAACATTTTCAACAAGGTATCATTTTTTAAAAGAGGAGGTAAAAAGTGCATACATTTTTGTCTCTTCCAGCCCTACTTGATGACTTGGACAAAGAATTGAATAACTATATCATGCGCTGTAGAGAATGGTATGGTTGGCATTTCCCTGAACTGGGGAAAATTATAACAGATAATCTAATATACTGTAAATGTGTGCGGAAAATTGGTGAGTAATGGCAGACTTTTATAAATCAGTTGTAAAGAACAGGGTGAATTATCTGTGTTAGAAATTATGCAGTTCCTTGGTCTCATACCAAAAGTGAGATTTATACTTTGTCAAGTTGTCTAACTACTGGTATTATTTGTATCGTAAAATATCCCTTTACATAAAAGTCATGAGTGCCTATTTTCTGTTGAATTCTTTCATAACAAAACCAATGAAATATATATGAATTATTTTCTTATGTGAATCACTTGTAAGCTTGTAGAAACAAAAAAAAATAGTTCCAGGGTGAATACAAGGATGGGAATTGTGGCAAACTACAAGTCCCATGATCCTCACAATTGGCTATCCTGGCTGGGACTAATGGGAGTTGGAGTCAAGTAATATTTGTTCCCCATCCAGAGTTAATAAATAGTTGTCTTAAGGCCAGCAGCAAATTGGGTATAGACTCCCTTCAAGCCACATCATGGAAATTTCTGTATCAAATAAATAGAATGATTTGTAGAGTGGGCTGTTTGTTTTTTCTTAATTGAATGTTAGATCTGCTTCTCATGTTGGAAGTTATATATTGTATCCATGGAGTTGCAGAGAAAATGGTGTTTAAAACTTCATTTCTACTTCAAATTTTGTTCTGCAGGAGACAGAAAGAACTTCTCCTCTTCTGATCTTTCTGAGGTCCTACCAGAGGAGATTGAAGAAGAGGTTAAGGCAGCTGCAGAGATTTCCATGGGAACTGAAGTGTCTGAAGAAGATATAAGCAATATACAGCACCTTTGCGACCAGGTGATATTGCTGCAATGGGTGGAACTTGGAATTTAGTCTAGAGCCAGTTTAAGAAACAAAAGTTTATTCAGAGGCCATGTTGCTGCCCCCTACACCTCTCACAGCTATCCTGTAATTTATTTAAACACTTAGAGCAACATGCTTCTGTTAGGCTAAATTTATTTTAATTTAGAGACACTTGAGTCTGGCAGGATTGAGCCAGTTTGAACAAGCCTAGCTTGGCTTGATGAACCAATACATCAGTGGTTCCTTTTGTACATTTGTATGAGCTACACTTAAACTAGAAAACTTCTGATTAATCATAGTTTCCCAGTGCGTATACAACAGACACTGTGATTAAAGGTGCAAAACTGTTTTCTGAATAGCAAAAAGGCTAATGCATATCAGCTAGTCCAATATAGCTACTGAGTGTCTCCTGAGTTCATGGTCAAACATTTAGAGATCAGAGTGGTCTGTAGAAACAAGAAACAATTTTGAGAAGGTGTTTCAGGTGAAGATTTTTGATGGCAGTGATGATTCTTGATATGATGCATTCCTGATGTTCATAGCATGAGGGCTGCATAGTCACTACCTCTTCTGATGCCATCTCAGATAACTTATTTAAAATAACTGGAATATGTTCAGGTATCGGTTTTGCTGGATCGCATGCTCACTCTTTTTCTCTTCTGAAAGTTGTAGAAGCTTACAATATATGTGATATCAGAATAATCTATATCATTTACACTCCTTTACTACCAGGCTGTCAAGCCAGCTTGGTTTAGCCAAGTGGTGGTACATCCATCTGTTAAGTCCAGCTAAAAGATCAGGGATGTGAGAAGGTCAGACGAGCAATAAGCTTCTTGTGGCAAGAAGCTTGGGGTTTGTTTGTGTCCAAATGGTCCACTTAAGAACTGATCTAAGAACATTGACCTGGTCACTTGCTTATGGGTGAAGAATGAAGTCTCTGACAGTCACCACATATTCAGAGGAGAGGGCCCAGGTGTGGGGGTACCTTTTGGTCTTCAACTCATGGCTAGGCACATCTTGCTGGAGAGACATAGGACAGCCCTTCCTGCTTACCTAAAGTAGCTATTTACCCTGAACTTCATTTTAATACTGGCTGACAATGTGCATCTGTACATTTAATTTGGGTTCTTGAGTTTTACTGGTTTTCTGTCCTCCTTTTAAAACTTTTTGGATTATTGAGAACATGGTGTTAATGAAAACATTAATAGGAACATATCTTGCATTTCCAACAATTGTTTTTTGTCCTAAACTTCAATACCGGCACCTTTGTAAGCTTTCCAGAAGAGAGTGATATATGTCTTTTACATATGGGAAAGACCCTTTGGACATGAAGACCACTTAGCAAAAGAGCCCCAGCTTTGCCATTTTTCAGGTCACTAATTCTGTGAGGGGGCAAAAATAAGGAAAGAAATTTACCATAACTAATTTTGGCTAGCCCTGGCCTATTCCATCAGATACTGTTTTCTTTCATATTACAACTTCCCTTTACATATATTTAATATTCAAAACAGAAAAGTTGTTCCATACCTAAACTCTGTGTGTTGGGGAGAGAGTTAAGGTAATCTGTTTTCTCATCTGCATCTGCTTCTGGATGCTGAGTTTTAATTTTAAAAACCCCAATACTGTGCTTTTCATATTTAACTTTTTAAAAATGTTTTAAATTATTTTAAAATGCTTCAGTTCAGTGGTTGGTTTCATACCTTTGAGTTCAAATGTTACAATGTATTAACTTTCTAGCAATACCTATTTTTTTAACTATTTTGTAAACTGTGCTGTGTCTGTGCTCTGAAAGTAGGATATAATTTAAAGTAAATGAATAATATTTACCACTGACTCTTCCATTCTGAACGTGCGCAAAATATCATGGCCATTCTGTGCCCAAATAATATGCAACCAAGGGACAACCAACTTCTGTTTCTGCTTGCTCAGCAAATTCAGACCTATTTCAAGACCCTACTTGCCATCCCATCCACCACAGTGTGTGAGAAACAGGGCCTGCTTTGTGAGAATACCAGAGTGGTGACATTTCTTACCCTTGGAAGCTCACCTTGCTTCCTCATTCTCTTTAGTGAGAATCCAGTCCGTGATACTGGATTGATTGGGCACTTACCAGAGAGTGCAAATCTTTGTATTTGGCAGCAATTTGCTGCCGTGACTTGTGTGATTTAATTTATACAAGCCTAAATCATCAGTTGGATTCTGGCTAGTGTATTTTACTGGGCTTTTGTTTCAACATAATAGTGTTATTTTAAAAACGTTGGTCTCAAAGGTTTTCTGTCTTCTGCCTTGAAATGTTATTAGGACTTTCCGCTGCTACCTGTTTGTGTTCCACTGGGTTGCACCTTTTTTTGTCTCTGTTTAGATTCTGTCTACGTTCCGTAAGAAATCAGAAAACCAATATGAAAACAATGTCACTTGCCAGCAAAATTTCACAACCAGTTTAGCTGTTAGCTTATGACATTGTTTTTATGCTTTTCTTTGTCAACTTTTCTTTGTGAATATTCACCAGGCTTGTTTTCTCTTTCAGGTGATTGAAATCTCAAACTATCGGGCACAACTATATGATTACCTAAAAAACAGAATGATGGCCATTGCACCTAACCTCACTGTCATGGTGGGAGAGCTTGTAGGAGCACGGCTTATTGCTCATGCAGGTATGCTTCAGTAATGCTGTGTTTCAGTTGTGTGACATTATCCTGCTCCACACTTAAGAGTGTCTGAAATCCTGTTGCGCAGTTATAAAAATGGCACAGCAGTCTGAAATCCTGTTGCGCAGTTATAAAAAGGGCATAGCATTAGATGTGAATTGCTTTAAGTTAAGAAATGTCTGTGAGCATTATCTGTTGTATGCCAAGTTGCATGACTTTGTATGCAACAGATAATGTCTGTGGGGATTTCTTAACTTAATGGCAGTTCACTTTTAAACACTATGCACTATGTGCAACAGTATTTCAGCCAGTATGTAATAGTCTCCGATTTTAGAGCAGTATGACCTTTTTCTACACTACTTTGGGGTGTTGTTAGGTGTGAGAAGCACTGCAGAAATTGATATGGTGGTGATGTTGAAAGTATTTCAGTGATTAAAATCCTATTGCTTTGTGCTGTAAGTGGAATTAGAGTAGGCCCACTGAATCAGAGGATTTGGTGAGTCAACTCCTCCCTAAGCTCCATTGGTTGAAATAGGCTGACTAGTGGCAACTTCCTATGCTAAGGTAAGTTGTAACTAGAGTAGACCCATTCGAATCAGCTGAATTTGGCTCTGGTTCAGTGGGCCTACTCTAGTGTAACTTGACTATGTTAAGTAACCGGATTTCAGCCAGTGTTTCTGAAATGTGAAATGACAGCATGTGAGGTTGTCAGCATTGGTGGGACCTAGAAGTCATCAGTGATGATTCTTTTCTAAAGTTTGCCTGATTTCAGCTTGGGAAGATGAAGGCAACTCCAGTCACTACCTCTTCTGAGATGCTCTAGAGTCCTGCTTCCACTCCTTCCCCAAGTACGTGCCTGGTTTATGTTCAAATCATGGAATGAAACAGATAAAGTTGGCTTCAGTTTTGTTGCTGTCAGTTCTCAGATGTTGAATTGTCTATGACAATTTGATTTTTTTACCTTGGTCTCCTTAAAAACAAATCAAAATCAGCTTCAAAACTTCAGACAATTCAAGGAGTGGTGTTTGTATATGTCCACACATGCACATACAAATGGGGGGGGGGGTTGGACTTATTTTGGTTTTGACCTGAAGCTTGGTTGCTTGTCCAGAGCTTTTTTCAGAAGTTTTCATTTTTGCAAACTCCTCTTCTATTACAGGGTCCCTGTTGAACTTGGCTAAGCATCCAGCATCCACTGTTCAGATTCTGGGTGCTGAAAAAGCACTTTTTAGAGCATTGAAGACTAAACGTGACACACCCAAATTTGGTCTGATTTATCATGCTTCTCTTGTGGGCCAAACAACAGCTAAAAACAAAGGAAAGGTGAGATTTTATCAAATGTGTTGCTTTTGGGTGTCCCCCCCCCCAAAGCAGTGATGGTTTGAGAGTTCTTGCAACGAAGCAGACTGAGTCTACTTCCATCTAGACTAAGATTTGTAGCCTTATCTATTAGACTGATGACTGGAGTATACTTCTGCAGAATAAGAAGGAGTCAAGACAGCAACATTCTGGTTGGTTTTCAGTAAGTTTGGATGTAGTCATGTCTGATCTATTGTCTCTCAAAATATCTGGAATTATGCCCCATCCCATGGCTTGCCTCATTTAGCACCACTAATCAGCTCCACATGCGACAGTGTGAGGATCTATTGGTGTACTAATCCAGTACTCATACTAGAAGCCTTAGCGAACTGGATATATGATCTCTGTGTTTGAAATAAACCATTACACCCATAGAAACGTGCACACTTTTAAAGATCTTTTGGGCAGGCCCTTCTCCCAGTCTCAATGCCATTAGAGCAGTAGGTCCCCAGATGTTGGGCTAGAACTCTAGAGGTCCTCACCTCTAGCTGTGATGGCTAGCTCTCTGGGAGTTGTAGTCCAAGAATATCTGGGGGCCCAAGGTTGGGAAACACTGCATTAGAGGCATGTCTGCTGAGGGACACAAGGAGAGAATTTGCAATGGATGTTCTCTGGCTCAGGAATGGATTCCAACCTGTTGTGAAGCAAAGGTCTTTTTATTCAGGCAGGGTCTCAGCATTTAAGCTGGGCTTTAGAAGGTGTTTAAATGACTGGGTTCTGCCTATGCTATGATTATCCTTTTAAATTGTGCTTTATTTAATTTTTTATTTTGTTATTTACTCATGATTTGCTTTTCTGTTGCTTGTAGCCTGGAGTACATTTTTGATGAGAAGTAGTCTATATATATATATATTGAATTAATGAAAGCATACTTAGGGGTCGGGATGATGATTAAAAAATGAGAACTTACACTCAGGCCAGGTTGAGGTGATCAAGCAGTGAGGATACACTCACTCCTACATAGTCCATGTAGGTGAATGAATGTCAGCCTATCTAGGTCTTGGCTGATGATGGGAGTACTCTACCTTTGATCCTTTTTTTGATATTTGGATGCATGCCTCTTTTTGGCTGTCCTTTGCTCTAAGCAGACCTTCCAAACAATTTAAAAATCAGTGATGTAATCCACTGAGAATTTTAACTTCTGCTTGCCAATAGTAATAAAATAAAAACGGGAAACTGGGTTCATTTGATTCTGTGAAGTTGAAACTACATCAGTTATGGTATGGATGTCCATTTGGCACACTGCTGCAAGGGCAAATGAGAGGTACATCTTTTTAATTTTTGTTGTATTGGTATTGTAAATACTTATATATAATTCAGCTATGTAGTTGTCTTATTTATTTATAGAAAGCGTTTTTTGTATTTGGACCTGGAGCCCAAAGAGTAAATATTGGAGTAATTAAAATAATCAGTTTGAAATGATTAGAATAATCATTTTATTAGTAGTTAAAATATATTTGGTTAGAAATAGTAAGGTCTAACTCCTAAATTAAATTTGTTTTTAAAAGTTGAGAAAATGTTCATTTTGCATACCATCTATTTTGTTGCCAGAATTATGGAGAAAAGTCTCCATTATGCTTCCCTGTACTGGTAGGAGGTGTAACTCTCCTTTCACTAAGGGGCATTGAACCTTTTCCTTTCCCAGATTTCACGAATGCTAGCTGCTAAAACAGCCTTGACTATTCGCTATGATGCCCTGGGAGAGAACACCAGTGCAGAGATGGGAGCCGAGAACAGATTGAAAGTGGAAACGCTTCAGTGCTTTTGAAGTCTTTTCCGATGTCCCTTTTCGCTCATTTTTAAGTTTCTTACAATGTTTGGAACAGGTTTTAAATGCTTGCAATCGTTAGCCCACCTCCTGAACCCTATGCAAACTTAATTTGGTGTTGTTCTGAGTCGTCCTTAATTTTTGGTGATTTTTTGTTTTCCCTATTTAAATGCATTGAACTGTCCATTCAATTGATTTAAATGGGGAAAATAAAAAAATCACCAAAAATTAATGAAGACTCAGAACAAAACCAAATTAAGTTTGCACATGTTTCACAAGGTGCACTATGGAATCCAAGCATTCAAAACAGGTTTCAAACATTTTAAGACACTTTTAAATGAGCAAAAAGGGACATCGTTAAGTGAAATTCCCCCATAGAGAACATTGTTAAACGATGGGGGAAATTCCTCAAAAAAACCCATCGCTGTGTGAATTCATCGTTGTATGAAGCAATCGTTGTGCGAGGCACCACTGTATTTGGTTAGTAAGGTCTAACTCCTAAATTAAATTTATTTTTAAAAACTGAGAAAATGTTCATTTTGCATACTATCTATTTTTTTGCCAGAATTATGGAGAGAAGTCTCCATTATGCTTCCCTGTACTGGTAGGAGGTGTAACTCTCCTTTCACTAAGGGGCATTGAACCTTTTCCTTTTCCAGATTTCACGAATGCTAGCTGCTAAAACAGCCTTGACTATTCGCTATGATGCCCTGGGAGAGAACACCAGTGCAGAGATGGGAGCCGAGAACAGATTGAAAGTGGAAACCAGACTGAGGCAGCTGGAAGAGAAAGGGGTGAGTATTTCAAAACGTAAAGTGAATTACTACCAAAGCAAATACCCACACTATGAAGATGAGACACTGATTGGTACATTTACTCCGTCAGGTCTGCCTTTTAGCGTAAGGGCTAAACAGTGTAGCTTTTCATCATCCAACTGTGCTCTCGTTCTAAACTTTCTCTGCTTTCATTTATGCTTTGTGGATGTGTTTAGTGGTACAGCCCACTGTGTTTACATCATAATGGGCATGTTTCCTTTGTCATTAGCCACTACTGAGTGTAACTGAGAAAGTGTATCCCTTTGTCACCTTCTCATGTGGTTGCTGAAGAGCTTGGAGCTGAAAGCAGGATGTTGTGTGTTGTCTCTTGTTCTCTGTTGAGCAGTGCTGTCAGATGCGGCAGACACAATTTTTAAAAATTGTAGGAAATCGGTTTCTTGTCATTTCATCTGCTGAAATTAGCTCATTTTTAAATCACAAAATTCATCTTTTTTAGTATTTTCATTCAGCAGCCAAGATGGGAGTGGTAGCTGCCTGAGAAGTGAAATATCACTGAATAAATAGTGGGATAGACTGTATCTGCTTCTGGTGAGGTCGGCTACTGTCCACAGAAGCGTATGCTAAGTCGTTAGTGTTTCAGATACCACAACCCTCTTTTGTTATTTTTGAGTGAACTAGGAGTTGAACAATTTACATCACACCACACATAAGTCTTAATCTAGGGTAATATAAATGAGAATTGTAGTTCAAGAACATTTGGAGACCCAAGTTTGGAAGCAAGTACCCTAAGCCCTACAATTAGATTAGAATATCAAGGTTTAGGGCATAAATATAACCTTTATTGTAATACTAGTGTATGTGCGCAGTTAGGTTGTCTACAAAGCAGCACCCTCTAAAGTTAGTTTAAGTGGAACTATATTCATGTCGCAAGCTGACATCCGGGCCATGCTGTCTCACCAATAGCTGCAGGAACACAGAACAGTTTTCTATGGAGGTAAACTGTTAGGCAGATTACCAGCCTTTAGATACTCTGCATTACTAGAGACAGAACACAGGGAAGAGGGCCAGTGCCCCTTGGCTGGGTGGGTAGAATTAGTGTGCCATGGGATTGTGGCTTTCCATTTGGTAAGGAAGAGGGATGCTCAACTGTTGGACAGGAAATTGGCAAACCCTTGAGGCATATGGAATGACGTACCAGCATCTGTACAAAACAGCTTCTGTTGCCAGATTAAATTCTAGCTTCCCCAGTCCTCAGACGCTTGGCTTTTAAGACCTAATAGTCTTTAAATTTTTGCACCAGGATCTACAACTGGCCTCCTGGATAGAATGCTGGGAATAGCCTTTTTGTTGCAAGATGAAGGAGATCTTAATAATGTAACGTCTCTTTCACCATGCTGTGAGTGCAGAACACTTGGGCACCCTGCATTAGGAGGATGTGGCTCTCCTCTGTTTTACATGTCACTCTCCCAGCTCTCACCATTCCATTTTCAGCTATGAAATGGTTGCAACATTTAAAAAAAAGTTATTTCAGTCATTTGTTTTTCACAGCTGTGACTTTCTTCTTTTAGATAAGACGAATAAGTGGCACAGGAAAGGCCATTGCCAGAGCAGACAAATACTTGCATAAGAGGTGGGTACCAGTGTGTTCATTTTGCTCATGCTTATAGGGGTTTTTTGTTTTTGTTTTTGTTTCATTAGTCAGACACCCAGTCCTAGGTGTGCTGGACTTGGAGAAATATCTGTCATTTCGCTCAATAGTAGTGTTTCCAGCATTCTCGTGACCACTTAACTTGTATTTGTAGAACTGACTGTGAATGGATAGAGGTGATAATATTTTCTGAGGTAGGGGCTTCTGGGATTTTTCATTCAGTGCTAATCAGAATGTATTTAACTGTCCAGTGGATTTGTTTTGCACTGCATGTGTGTTTTTAAATTGTGATACTTGATTGTATGAATGGGGTCTTAATATTAGCAGCTGTACTGGGCTTCTATTGTCTTTTGCAGAGTAGACCACCAGTAATTATACTTCACAACTTCCTAAGCTGCAGTAGACTTAGATGGTTTCATATTTATGTTTAAAATACATAGATGAGCTCTGCTGGAAGAAACCAGAGATCCCTCTGATCCATCCTCTTCTTCCTTACAGTGGCCAATCAAGAGTTTCAGGGGAGCCCCCCACACACACCCCAGCATTGTTGTCCTCAAGTACAGTGGTGCCTCGCTTAACGGCAATAATCCGTTCCAGGAAAATCGCTGTTAAGCGAAAACATCCTAAAGCAAAAAAAAAACCCACCCCAATTGAAACGCATTGAAACCCCTTCAATGCGTTCCAATGGTGTCAAAACTCACCGTCTAGTGAAGATCCTCCATAGGGCAGCTGTTTTCGCTGCCTGTCTTGCGAGGAATCCGTCCCAGAAAACAGCGGGGAGCCATTTTGTTTACCCGGCAGCTATTTTGAAACCGCCGATCAGCTGCTTTAAAATCGTCGTTTTGCGAAGAATCATCACAAAGCGAATAAACCCCGTTTAGACCATCGTTTTACGATCACTAAAAGATCGTCGTGATGCGGTTTCGTCATAATGCGGGGCAATCGTAAAGCGAGGCACCACTGTAGTTCATCATTCTCTATCACCATCTTCTCAATCTATAAAGATGTAACTAACATTTTGGTTGGCTTTTCAGATTAACTGAGATTACTAATTGAACTGTTGGGTATTGTCTTCTTGAGCACAGATGCCAAAACTATAGCCCATGGATCTATACCCATGTACCCAACCAAAGAGCTGTAGACTTGTTCCCTGAACCCATGCTCACCATTTCCTTTGGTACATGAGCTGCCGTATTGTGCTTATGTGAGAAGTGAACACATACCGTGTTTCTCCAAAAATAAGACAGGCTCTTATATTAATTTTTTCTCCAAAAATGCATTAGAGCTTATTTTCAGGGGATGTTTTATTTTACACTTATGTCATCTTCTGGTCGCTGTTCACTTAACTAGGGCTTCTTTTTGAGTAGGGCTTATATTATGAGCATCCTGAAAAATCATACTAGGGCTTATTTTCAGATTAGCTCTTATTTTCAGGGAAACAGTCTACAGCCATCATTTCTCTCATTGCAGCAGGACTTCTCCTAGCTAGTGAGGTCACTGGAACTGCAGTTGGTACTGCTATGTATCTTCCCTAGCTGCAAGGCAACATTTCTCCAGTGAGTAGTGACACCATAGTCCATTGTACATAGGTGAAACTGCCTGTGTGGAGCTAGTCACAAGCTCAACTTGTTGTGCACTGGGATTGTGGGTCCCCTCGTTGGAGGCAGCATCTTTCTAAAGGAAGACAAATAAGGGAAAAACTACTGGCTTTAGTCCAGCTTGACTAGCCACTTGACTCTTAACCACAGGTAGAAATGAGATGATGGTATACTCTGAGACTGGGGAATCTGTGGCCCTCCAGATGTTGTTGAACGCTCAGTTCCCACAATCGCTAGCTAACATGGCCAGCATCAAAGCAAGATAGAAGTCATTGTGTATCAGTATAGGTGTACAGGGACAGGGGTCCATACATCCTGGAGTAGATTCAGTCTTTATTCTCATCCTTCTATGGTATATTCTTAATGTGAAATGAATAAGGTCTGGACAGCTTAGTAAAAAGAGTGAACGTGCAGTTCCCTTTTCTTTGATGACCTGAAAACATGATACCCATCTTACTTGTTCAAACAAAAATGGGTTCCTGGGAGCATGTAAGGCTCTTGGGCAAACATACCAGTCCTTCATATCTTCTTCTTTCCATCTAGCTGCCTGTCTTAGGTAAGATAAGAGCATTGAGGGCAAGGACAACCTCATTACTGTGTTCTCTATAACCTAGAACAGCGGGCATGCTGTTGTAGCTATAGAAACCCCGTTGGAGAATATCTTCAAGGACTCGGGCAGGGGTGGAATAAACGGGATCATTAGTCCTCTTCCCCATGCCATTGTCTCTTCAGTAATGGTACCTTGCCCTTCACAAGTTGATTCTCCCCCCCTCAATCTTTTACTCTTCAAGTGAAGTGAAGACCTATGACCCTTCGGGTGAATCTACGCTCCCTCGGGTCCCGAAGAAGCATAAAAGGGAGGAAGAGGAAGAAGAAGATGAAGGGGCACCAGCTCCCAAAAAAGCAAAGAAGATTAAAGTAGAAGAAGTCAAAGGTTAGTTACTGTATTTCTGGGGTTCTTTGTGGTATCTGGGAATTGGTTGCATAGTTAGCTTCCAAATTCTTGAATGCTTCAAACCTTTTCATTGCCTGAAATCCAGCAGTCAAGTCACAACTGGAATAGGCCCATTAAATCATTAGAACTTACAGGGGAGTTGACTCGCCAGATCCTCACTGATTCAGTGCACCTACTCTAGTTGTAACTTACTGCTGGATTTCAGCTAAAAGGGTCTTTCAGAAGCTGCAGTCAATAGAATGGAGAAGGAGGTGACTTTCATCAATTTCCTACCCTTATGCCCTGCCATCTGCTCCAGTATGTGAGTGAATAGCATAGGAGGCTGCAAGGGGGCAGGTGAAATGCTCATATATCACTTCCCATTTTGTTTTACTGGTATATCTAAGCAGCTTTTGTTGACTGAGGACAACATTGGGCATAATCAAACATTTTTATCCTGGTTTCAGTCTAAGCATTGGCAATGGTGTGTGTAATTTTGTTTCTTTCCAGCATAGCATACCAAACAGGCAGACAATACTTTGCAGTCTATGCTGTGAACTACATTGCCATTTAGTTTGCATTCCTGATTTAGGTCTAAGTGCAGAGACTGATGAGTTAGGAGAAGCACAAAGTGCACATTTACCCAATTCATCTAGGTATGTATCATTTCTTGTAAAATTATTTTACTGGCTCCATGAAAAAGCATTTGCCCAAAGCCTTGGATTGGTTTATTCTTTCTTAGAAGCAAGCAAGAGTCAATATGTAACTGGCCTAAGCTTTTATTTCTGCTCAGTCTGTCTTTTGCATTGCTTCAGTTTTTTTTTTCTTCTAATGATGGCAATAACAGCTAGGAAAGCTTTTATGCAAAAATATTGTGTAGATTTTCCTTGGTGGCCTTGAGGAAGAGATGCATCTCGGAGAAGTGTCTGCCTTAAAACAAAACAAAAAACCCAAACACCGCAGTTTAAGGGAACATCAGCATTTTGTTTCCCAACCATAAAGTTGGATTCATAAACTAATAGTTCACCTTTATAGTCTGAGTTGCTGTAATAAGTCATGCGCCAGGTGTGTGAATTCATGATTTTAAAAAAATGTACCTTGTCAGTCTGTATTCTCCAGCAATGAAAACTGAATTCTACTGCTTATATAAGTCTGTGTGTTTTGTTGTTGTTTCAACTTAAATACTACTCCGAATTGCTAAAACAGTATCTGGGAGGTTTACGACATAATTATGCAAAGAACACTTTGCCACTGCCACCAGCCCCACACCCAGCAAGCTGGGTAATCAATTTACCAACCTTAGAAGGCTGAGTCAGCCTTGAGCCAACTACTGGAACCCATTAGGTCGTGAGCAGGGGCTTGACTGGAGTACTGCAGTTTAGCCACTGGGCTACTGGCCAATTCTTCATGTGCATCACTTTTTCCCTCTTTGTATAGTGTGCCAGTTTGGTTAGTCATGAGGCAGGGCATGGACTTCTGTAGTACCCAAATGCCCAACCTCTAACCATTGGCTTGCCTACAGCTTGTTCTCCAGGTACGGCATGTAAACTTCCAAGCATATTTTTACAACCATGTGAGATCTGGGGAAAGTTTAATCCTGATACCGACATTCTGTTTTGTGTTTCTGCTGAAGTGTGCTTGGTGAACAGGCTCAGGATTAAATAAAAAGGGACAGCTCACTCCAGTTGAAAATCTGTTGGTTTCTTATTACAGACTTCTTAGGGTAGAACCCCAAGAATCAGAGTCCTTTGGTTTGTGGAACATGTTACATCTCTGTGATGTGCACAGATTTGGTTTTCTCTCTTTCTCCTGCCCCTTCTCTTCCCTCTCCCCTCCTTATGATAACAATGCTGAAGGAAGGGTGAAGTGTTTTCATTTTCACTGTGGTGGACAGTTGAAACGTCGATGGGCAATAGTTGGCTTAGTGCTGAATATAAAACGATCAACCATTTGCTCTGCCTTATGTAAAATAAAGATGCTCGTACTTTCCCTTGTTAACAGCAGGAGTGTGGCAAGGCGGGGAGGGGGGGAAGAGAGTGAGGCATATATGCAGGCTCCAGAAGTAGGCCAAGGAAATGGCTTCCCTGGAGCTTCATTCATCATTTTGTTCTGGCATGAAAGTGTTTTGACAAACACTGCTGGCAAGAAGCACTTAAAACACTCACAAAGGCAACCACTGCCAGCTCTGAAGTGTCAGTGGCAATGAAATGTAGGCTAACTTACTGCTGACTGTCGCCGGTAGCAGGCTGCTGCCATGCTGGGCTCACCTGTTGGTGCTTTAGGGAGTAGTGGGGCAGTCTCCGTGAGATAAGCATTCTGGAATGTTTAATGCCGAAAGTATACTCTTCCCTAGATAGTGCAGCCTTATTGCTGTTGTTATTGTTATTAGAGGAAATGAGGTGCCCATAATGATTATAAGCATGGGCATGAAAGGTTACAGAATGCAATTCACCATGACAAGCCTGGGGAGATTGGGCGGTTTGGGACAGCAGACGAGGGGAATGAGAACTCACAGCCACAGGAACGGTATTCTAGGCACCACCTATAGCACGAAACTACCCTGTTTCCCCAAAAATAAGACCTAACCTGAAAATAAGCCCTAGTAGGATTTTTAGGATGCTTGTAATATAAGCCCTACCCCCAAAATAAGCCCCAGTTAATTGAAACCCCGCCCTACACCATTGTGCAGCAATCAGAAGATGATGACAGGACTGCATTTGAATAAATGTAGATTGTTGTACATGAAAAAAATAAAACATCCCCTGAAAATAAGCCCTAATATGTGGTTTTGGTTTTTTGTTTTTTTTTGGGGGGGGGGGGCAAAAATTAATATAAGACTGTGTCTTATTTTTGGGGAAACACGGTAGCACGGTTGCACTTAAGAGGCTTGGTATAGCTATAGGTTACTAGAGGGAAAGGAAGATGGGGTTCTTGAAGTACAGAGAGGACAATGTGCAGTGGCTCCCTTCCACACTCCTGTGGCGCCTGTCCTTGCTCATCTTTAGCAAAACCCCGAAAGGCCTTTCACTTGCTTCTCATAGAATTGATGCAGTAACGAAGGTATGTAGCTCTGAAAAGACAGGGTTCCTGTACATGAAGTGCGTTTTTCAGGTGGCAATCAGCATTGCTGTCCTCTTCTTTTCCATAGCAACAGTCCATTTAATAAATGTAGGCGACTTCACAGTCCTCTCCTTCTTGGTGAACAGCCAAAGACATGCCAGACGTGCTGTAAGACATCCTTGTTTAGATTTGGCTTTCATTGGCTACATCTGGCTTCCTTTTTAGCAGAGTTTTGTAGTTTATTGTTCTTGGTATTTAAAAGGTCATTCTTTGCCTGCAGTTCTCACAGTGTGGGCTGGGCTAAGGGAACTGTGTGTGTATGTTTTCATCCAAAACACAAGAGTATCATCTTTAAAAAGAAAAACTTGACATTATATGCAGTATAGTGGTGACAAAGATTGTCCACTAATTATTGTTAAGAATTTTTCTCCTTGACTTCTTCAGATGGAGTCACATATGTATACTCATCTTTGTTTGCTCCTGCTATGCACATTTTTCCTGCCTTCTGTCACTTCTTAGTCATTATAGCGTAAAAACTCTTCCTCAGTGCTTTTTTTATGGCTGCCAGTCTCAGGCTTCTTGTTTTATTGGTTTCTCTTTTTATTTTTATTTTTACATAGAAGAAGAGGGGGAGGAGCAAGACCAAGAGCAGGAAGAAAGTGAACCTGTCAAGAAGAAGAAGAAGAAAAAGGAGAAAAAACAGAAGACTCAAGAAGAGGTTTGGGTAGAAGACGAAGAAGAAGAAGCAGAGCCATCCGCAAGCACAGCAGTAGAGGTGAGACAGCACAGGCAGAGCTAGATCTGGTCCTCTGGGCAAATCATTGTAGAACAGCAAGGAATTCTGTTGCCTAGTTGTGTCATAGTAAGAACACAACTAGGCAACAGTTGTGACCTGTTGTGCTGGCGAAATGAAGACAGCTTGGGTTGTGTGAGCTCAAAGCAATTCTTGTTCTCAGAAGAAATTCCTAGCTCAGAGTTCCTTAATTCTCAGTGCATGGGCTCTGGTTGGTCGGTTTTGGGGTTCCTACAAAAGGCCCCCATTCTTGTGTCTCCTTTTTGCCCTAAATTTCTGTCCTCTTAGAGGGAAAGAGTCAACAGAATTGTTCCTTTGTGATTCAAAGCTTCCAGTGGAACTACATTAGACTCCCAACCTCCAAAGTGAGCTTGACATTTCAAGAGACAAAACAGTTGGTCTAGGTTTGGCTCTGTATCTAGCCGAGTCTGATTTCATCGACTTCACGCCTTATAGACTTTCACAGTTGGGCTGAATGGAGAGTGGGAGAGATTATCTCAGTCTCTTGTGAATCATGAACCAAACAAAGGCACAGTTGCGAAACCATGACCCAGTTGTAGTTAAGGGAGAGTAATATACCGGTGTGCAATTAAGCCGGCTCTGATGGCCTGCATAAATATGCTGCAGAGTCTGATTGACTTGGGAGTGGGGGGAGTAGTGGTCTTTGTCTACATTAGGATTCCCCCTCCAAACTACTGGAGTAGCCAATCTTTCTTTAGATTGATAACCTCTGCACAAACGGAGGGAGAAAGACTTTGTTCTGCTGAGATGCTTAAAGATGAAAGCTGTCACTGAGTGCTGTTGACTCATTTCATTAGGGTTCTATCGATGGTAACCATGGATTCCTGTAGTTCTTGGAGCCCCTCTGTCAAAAGAGATTAGCAAAGAGAAGTAGAATAGGACTAGGCGTGCCTTTCATTTCTCCCCTGAGGGGAAGAATATTTTAATTTTTCCTTATTTCATGTTATTAATTACTGACTGTGTGTTTGGAATTGAGTCTGCAACACTGTTTATTTTCAGGGCACAGAGAAGAAGAAAAAGAAGAAGAAGAAAATTAAAGAGGAGCCTGAAGATGAATATTAAGAGGAGGACACCAGAGCCTCTCTGGTGACTTGCATTGTGTTTGGCTTTCCTGGGACATTGGCCTTTTTGCTCCATGGTTAGTGAAGGCTGAAGAGTTTATACACTTTTTCTCTGTATGCAGTTTTTTACCCGCACCTTTTACTTTAACCCTTATCCTGACAATATTTTTTAAGCTGATATTTTGTGTTGTATTATTGCAGAATGGTTTAAGATACTGATGTATACCTGGAAAGTGATATAGAAATGGTTGAAATTGATTTAAAAAATAAAAAATATTCCAACAGCAGAGTCTTTTCCTAAAACTTGAAGTCTGCATAGAAATATTATTTTTGTACATAACTTCATGCCTGTTAAAAAAATTGTTTAAAGTTCTAAATATGTTGTTTTAATTTTGTGAATTTTAGGGGGAAGGGAAGACATTTATAATCTTTCTTGTGGTTATGTTCGCAGAAATCCCTCTGCCTAGCTCCACTGGTGCAATGGTAACCTGAGGTAACCTGCAGTGGCAGATTGACATGGATGAGAGACTTCCTTTTGTGATTTCAGAGTGTGAAGTTGCAGGCAGTCAAAAATTTCAGGAAGGGAAGACTTTAATCAGCTGTAATCTGCAGGATTTTGGCCACTGTTTAGGAAACATGCAGTGCTACAACTCTGTTGTACAATGCATAGACCGTATTGAAAAAAAGCTGAGCATAATAAATACAGTAAAAACTGGAGAAATATGCACAGCCATTTTCTCAGGCCAGCTACTTTCCAGATGTGTCGGCCCACACCTTTTCTTTGTTCTCTCCATGTAGGAGAAAGGATCTTTGGGATTGTGGTATAAGCATCATATAACCAAACAAAAACCAGCTTTAATTTGCAGCAGTGTGAAATTGCAGTATTTAGTTACATCTCTCCCTGGTATAGCAATTATTGTGCAAGTGCTCTTTTGCATCAGCTCAGCAAAGATGATTAAGAAACACTTGGCCATTTTGACTCTGAAACAGCCATCTACGCTTTCATGCCTAAACCCAAATTTATGAAAAATCCCCAGATGCTGTGTTGCACTGGATTACTAACTTGGTTGGGAGATTGCACAGCTGCTTGTGGAACAACCAGGTGCATGACCATCTGCACCTGTATTTGATTTCCCCTTTGTATGAATTTTGGAAATGTGCAGACACACCAGCATTCTGAGACTTGTGCTAGAGCCGTGACATTACAGGTTTCAGATATCAAATTAATTAATGCAACATACACATGTCTGCGGTGGTGCAGTCTTGCACTGCAGTAGTTAAACTACAGGTCTGCAGTCAAGACTTTGCTCACTACCTGAGTTTGATCCCAGGTTCAGGTAGTTGGCTTGAAGTTGACTCAACATTCCATCCTTTTGAGATCAGTAAATTGAGTACCCAGCTTGCTTGGGATGGGGGGGGCTGAAAATAATCTCTGCGCGGAGGAGATGCGCAGAGGGAGGCGGAGTTGTGCGTGTGCAGAAACACACCTTAGAAGGAACCTTGGCTGGTTGATACCTCTATGTGTTGGGATCACAACAACAGGGATGAGAAAACAGTTGTACTGCAAGTCAGAAATTTGTAGCATTAATTTTTTAAGTATAAATATTTTAGTTAGCTTTGGGAAATGGAAAGTAAATAGTTACTTTTAAGTATAATTGTGATGGCAACTACTTTTTGGACCATGGAAGTATTAAGCATAACAAAATATCTTTTAAGGTTACTTTCGAAGCTTTGCAGGGAATATGTATGCATCTCTACATCCAGCAATATGAAGCATTTTCCCCCTCCTTCACCCCTTAACCAGCTGGCAGTGTAGGACAAGAGGAGTCTGTTAGGAAGGAAGGATTGACTGATGTGTGCACATAAGAGCAACTGTTTTTATAAACATTTAAAGAGCAGTTAGAGTGACCGAAGATGATTGTAAAAGTCTTGGATTTTTTCTTTATTGCTGTAGTTATAAGGTATGAGAGAAAGCACCTCAGCACATTCTCTTATACTATCGTTCTATTTTCCAATTATGTGTCTTGAACATATTAAAGCATGAACTCTAAACTTGGCTGAGAATCTTGCAGACATGCACACCACTCCTAAAACCAGTTCCTGGGAATGCCAGGATGGTCCAATATGAATAGTTTATAAGCAGGAAGTAAAACATTCGCTCTAATGCACCACAATAAGTTAAAGATAATCCATATAAACATACACACAAAGATAAAGTTTTGATTTTGCCTAACAAATGAAGGAACTTCTCTCATCAGTTGGTCAGACTCAATAGCTTCCATCACATCTGTGCCAAGTTATTTAATTACAAGTAGCCCTTTGCTTCCCAGCATTACATGACCTTAAAAAATTGTTGGTATGAACCCAGCCTTTCCTGCTTAGCTGCATGGAGACACTTTATTCTGTTGCATGACTACTAAAGTCCTCTATGGAGCACAGTTTACATTGAAGACCCAGTTTGTTCCAACTTGCAGTAACTCCTTGTCTTGTGCTGATCACATAATCACTACCCATTCTGTAGAGATGGGATGAATAGTTTTGCATTAGGAAAAACTTGTTTAAAATGTATTGCCAAAAAAGAGTAAATGCATGAGAACAAGGGGGGGGGTGGCGCTTTTCTTGCCCTTTGTCAGTGACTACTGCCTTTCTCTTCATTTTGTTCTTGTTGGGTCTGGGCTCTAATTTCTGAACATGGCCAAACATTTTCATGCTCTCACCTTGGCTTTATACTGCCCCCACAGGATCCCTATGCAACTGAGGTTTTCAATGATAGTGTGCTTGTGTAAAGTCTGGTTTGGTCCCACTGACAATTAGGCTTTACTTATATAGTCTGTACAATAGGTATTATTTATTGAGGATGTGACGACTATTTCACTAATTAGGATTTTTGTACTTCTATTTGTATTGTCATAATCCTCTAGTACATAAGTATACATGCACAGTTTTTATTAAACAGAAATCAACTAGAGTTCTATTAAATATCTGTATTTTATCAGGTGGCTTCCATATATTTACTCGGATCACAGATATTTTTCCCTTCAACTCTTAATACAGTCTCGACTCAACTTTCTTCTAAGTGACATCTCCAAGCCGCAGCCCTTCTCCATATGCAAATCCAAACTCTGCCTCTCCTGCTATGTTCATCAGTCACTCTGACATAAAGTGGAAATTTTTGATTGTAAAAACATACATGCTTTACAACAATACAAACCCATACATACTATATTATCTAGTAGCTTATGTTAACATCACAAATGTATCATCCCTAAAACTTGCCATCTTGGGAATTGTGTAGTATTTTGATAGTTTTTTGTGCGGTACAGTAGTACCTTGGTTTACGAAATCAATGTATTCTCCGGGACATTGTGTAAAGCGAAAATTACATTAACTGAAACACAGATTGCCATAGGAACGGGGCGATGCTATAAACCTCTAGGCACAATGCATCATGGGGAAACTTCCTTCACAAACGGAAAAAAGGGGGTGGGGGAGAAAACCAAGGCATTGTTTTCTATGGATTTCCGTTCCTAAACTGAAAATTACAATAACCGAGGCATTCATAAACCGAGGTACCACTGTATTTTGGTGGGGAGGGCTTTTTATTGTTTTAATTTTATTTATGGTGCCGTTCCGTTTATTCCTTTTGTAGCTGCCCAAAGTAGTGGCTTGCCACTAGATGGGCAGGATGTACGTCTAATAGATTAAATTAATAAAATTGGCACATGCTTATTTATATGTGTAAATTCACATTTAGAATACGGTAAATAGAAGTATACAATACATCTTACCCTACAAAGGAAGATTGTGACCAAGTTAATTGCAAACTTTCTCAATCTGTTACCCAGCTGGTAACACATGAGAGGAGATTTTTGAGGTCCCTGGCTGTCCCTCTTTCAGTTCTTTATGCTTAAGAGAGGCTTAGACTGGACAGCCCTTCAAACAGAAGAGACCTCCAAATAAAAATCTGTCTTCTGACAGCCCTTCAAACAAGGGATTGTCTTAAATCAGGACACATGGCCAGAGCCCAGAAAATTTTGCTTGAACTACAACTCAAGAATCCATCAGTCATCATAGCCATTGCCTATGCTGGCTGGAGATTCTGAAATGTGTAGTCTAAAAGGCCAAGTTCTGACCTTGGTCACCCTTGAAAGGTAACCATACTTGTATGCTGTACTTTGCTTCTAATCTAGGAAAATTCACAAAAAAATCGGATGAGTGTGTACAATCTTAAGAGAAACGAAACCATGCTTGGGATAGAGGGAGGGTCCCAAAACAGGCTGTTTCTGTGACAAGAATGGCCCCAATATACCACAAGGGGAATCAAGTTTCTGTAATGTGAGGGAGCTGTCTCACTTGTGTTAATTCAATGCAGCACTGGGTGTGGTACAGATAAAATTTAGCTCTTTTAGGTCCTGCCAATTTATTATGAGAAATGTAAAATGCACAAGTCTGCCATAGAAACCAGCGGAGCTAGGCATGCTTAATGATAGCTAGAATATGTCTGCTACGTTTTTCCCCAAATAAAACTGAAATTTTGAAATCTGACTCTCACTGTTTAACAATCAGGAAGTGCATGTCATATACAAAGTCTGCATCTATCTGGTACAGCCTGATGATTGCAGAATGGTTTTAGGAGCTGACAACAGCTCTTGAGTGCATCACCCTAGTGCAGAGGAGAGATGGGGGCTGGGCCAGGAGGAAACCGTTCCCTTTAGCTCGGCAAGTACATTGCACCACACTGTGAAGCAATCATGGCGGAGCGGTGTGACAGCTGAGGATGTTTTCCTGTCAGGTTCAGCCTGTCTCTGTGGGGAAGCAGGAGAAGTAAATGGCTGGAGGAATAATGCTTCTCTATATTCCTTGGCAGAAGCAGAGGAAGCTACCTTACAAATGGAGATGAGAGAGAAATGCCAAATAATGCTTAACGTATGCTCACTTTCTCTGAGCAAAGGCACTGCTTTGTTGGTGAAGAGCCTCTCAGCAGGACTAGATGCATTCTTATTTCTGCCACAAACCTTCCTTAGCCACTGATCTCTTCCTCCTTGTCATAATCTCTTACTGAACCCTGTCCACCATTTTATGTCATTGGCTGCTCTGACTGGATATTACAATGTGTCTTAACATGGCAGACGTGTCACCTGTGCCTCTGTCGTTGGCTTAGCTGCTTTGATGACACCTTTGGGTGGACTTCAATAAATCCACTGGTGCTAAAAGTGACCTGTGATGTGAGAACAGCCAGTGGCATCAGGAGTTCTGAAAGATGAGCTGCTTGAATAATTCCCAGTAT